TCTGTCTCTCTCTGTCGGTCCGGTGAGCGCACGTGCCCTACAGTGAAAACCTCTCCAAAAAAAAAAAAAAGAAAATCCTCATTAAAAAAATACAAGAAATTGGAAATAAAATCATTCATTATACCAGGACCCAATCTGTTAATTTTATGTGTTTCTTTTTTTTTCTATACATTTAAATTTCTTCTTTGCACAGGTGTGATTACTTTTTAAAAAAATTATTGTGGAGGCCAGCAGGTGGTGTAGTGGTTAAGGCGTTGGACTCCCACATAGCTGACTGTGGTATGAGCTCCAGACCTGGTGGCTTGAGACTCACACTAGGCACATGTGCATGCACGCCCAGAATCCCAAGAGGAGATGGAGGAGAAGGGATTGCAGCATGGCCATCCCCCTGGGGGTGATTTCTTACTTTCTCTGTCTCTCCAGAGACTGCATGCTCTCTATAGCAAAAATCTCTCTTTAATAAAAAAAGTACTATAGCAAATAATACTATAATAAATAATAATAATAGCAGACGGCATAGTGGTTACATCATCGACTCTTACTTATTTGACTATGGTTTGAGTCTCAGACCCAGCAGCTTAAAATTCATGCCAGGCACATGTGTGTGAGTGTTCAAAATCCAGGTAGGAGACTGGAGGAGAAGGGATTACAGTATGGTCATCTCCTCTTGGGGAGGTGGGTGATTTCCTGCTTTCTGTCTTTTTGGTGAGCACACACACCCTATAGCAAAAATCTCTCTTAAAAAAAAAAAGGAAAAAAAAATATTGTAGTGAAATATACATAACATGAAATTAACTTTTTTTTTTTTTTTTTTTTTGCCATAGAACACCTGAACTTGCCAAAAGAGGAGAGCGGAAATCATTCCCTAGCGGGGACGGTCTCCCTATAGTCCCTTCTCTTCTATCCTCCTCTTGAGATTTTGGGCATGCATGTATATGCTTCCAGTGTGGTTTTCAAGCCACTGAGCATGGGGCTTTAACTGCAGTTGACCATGTCAGAGTCCAGCACTTTAACCACCATGCCGCCTATTGGCCCTCCAACCCTTTAACCATTTGTTTATTTTTGCTGATGTTGTCTGTATTTTTGAGATCTTATCTTAAAAATAATCTTTACCTAGGGAACCAGCAGTTAGCGTAATGGCTATGTCGCTGGACTCCCACATAGTTGACCGTGGTTCGTGTCCCAGACCAGGTGGCTTAAAACTCACGCCGGGCGCGTGTGCGCGCATGCCCAAGATAACGAGAGGAGAATGGAGGAGAAGGGATTGTGGCACAACCATCGCCCCGGGGGGTGATTTCTCGCTTTCTGTCTCTTTGTCTCTCTGTCTGTCTGTCTGGCGAGCGCACGCGCCCTATAGTGAAAACCTCTAAAAAATAATAATAATAATCTTTACCTAGACCAGTATCCTAAAGCATTTCCCAGTTTCTTCTAGTAATTTTATGATTTCATATTGTTTTAATTAATTTTTAATAAAGTTGATGGAGACTGATTTTGTTTTCACTTGCCAGAGGGTGTGCTTGCTTGCCAGAGAGAGTAAAGGAGACAATATTTAACCCAGGCCACTCGAGCTCAAATAGTGACATTTTGAGGACTCTTCTCCTGAAGTGGGAATATATTTTTGGTCAAGGGCCCAACCGAGAATTCTTAGAAGACTAATGTATAATTTTGATTACTTGCTATTTATTTAAGGTGACTGTGGTATTAGTTTTTCTTTTCCTCTGTTCCAGGGCCCCCGCTTCCCAGCTCAGGGAAGGAGCAGCACTCCTCAGCCTCCATCTTTGAGCACGTGGACAGGATTTCCCGCTCCTCCGAGGCCAGTCGGCGCGTCCCCAGTTGGCCAGTCGGCGCGTCCCCAGTAAGATCCAGCTGATTGCCATGCAGCCCATCCCTGCACCCCCAGTTCAGCACTCCGTCGTGGCCGACCGGGTGGCAGAAGCCAACAAAATTAACAAAGAGGTAATTTTTTTAAAATTAGAAAGCAGGTTAAGAATCAAAACTCACATCTGATTTGGTTCATACCTAAAATTCAATGAGAAGCACACTATCAAAGATTATTAAAGGTGTGAGCTGGTGATGTGTCTGTTTTTTTTTTTTTAAGATATGTTGATACATCTCATAACATATTTTTATTTATTAATTTTCATTTAACCAGAGAGGGACAGAGTGAGAGAGAGAGAGAGAAAGTGAGAAAGCAAGCCACCAGGTCCAGGACTTGAATAGCAGTCGCCAGGTGGGAGTCCAGTGCCCCAACTACCATGCCACCTGCTGGCCCCAACTCTTTTAGTTTAAGATCAGATACTGTTGGGGCCAGCAAGTGGCATGGTGGTAAAAGGCGCTGGACTCCCACATGGCCGACCACGGTTCAAGTCTCGGACCTGGTGGCTTGCTTTCTCACTTCCTCTCTCTCTCTCTGTGTCTCTCTGATCAAACTGGAAAATAATAATGATAATAATAATAAATAAAGTTAAATAAAATAATTCTTTAAAAAAAAAAAGATCAGATACTGTTCAAGGTCACTGTTAGTTGCCTTGGCAAGTTAGCAGAGAAGAGTGTGGTGAGCCTGGGATTGCTACCCTCAAAGTCCTGCTCTGGCCCTTCCTCAGTTCTCTTAGTTCTTTAAGACCTGGCATAGGCCTCCCACGGCCAGCAGTGACCTGTCTCCATGTGTGTGCCCTCCACTCACTTATGGGGAGTCTTAGGTCAGGGGACATGTTCCTCTGACATTAGGATGATAATCAGTAAATGTGTATTGTACCATATAACACAAATATCTCCTTTGCATTTGTCAGAATTAACTTTAAAATCTCTAAAGTAGTGCTATTTTTATGTACGAGAAATATATATTCTTTTCTCAGGCCCCTTCTATCTAGTTAGCAGACAGATTTGTCTTCGAAGTTGCCACTGGCCGATCTCCAAGCTTAGGCTGCTTTTGCCCTTGCTTCAGGGTACCATGACGTGCCTCCCCTCCAGCACACAGTGTGGCATCTAGATTAAAGCACTGGGATGCAGGGTCTCTGCCCTTCCTGGGCTCTGCCTGCCCTTGGTCACCCTGCTTGGTGCCTCGGTCAGAGCCTGTGGGTAGTGCCTCAAGGTTGGGGATAGGAGCTTGCAGAAAGGTGATTCCCAATGGCTTTGCCAGGCGTGTGTCCCAGAAACCTCGGAGAACGTCAGCATCTGCTGTCCCTCCCTGTCACCCCGACTCAGATCCAGACAGCACTGCGGCACAAGTCTGAGATCGAGCACCACCGCAATAAGATCCGGCTGCGTGCCAAGCGCCGTGGGCACTACGAGTTCCCGGTGGTGGACGACCTGTCCTCGGGGGACACCAAGGAGCGACACCGGGTATACCGCAGGGCGCAGATGCAGATCGACAAGATTCTGGACCCCACAGCCAGCGTGCCCTCGGTGTTCATAGAGCCCAGGAAGAGGTGGGCCGAGGGCCTGGGCGGGAAGCTGGTGGTGGGTATCAGACAAGGCCACAGTAGCGAACGGGCCCTCTGTGGTTGGAGGGCCTGTGACCAAAGGGCCCGTCCATCTCCACCTGAAAGTTTGACCATGGGTTGAAGAGCCTACACTTTGACTGCTCAGAGCTCCCAGCGGGGCATCGGTCCTGCTCAAGGTCAGCTTTGTGTAGACGACACTGCTTTCTCACCATCCCCCATACCTCCACTTCCTCCGAACATGTCTTCCAATTTAATTGTTCTGAGTTCAGCTCCATATCTAAACTGTGTTCATCCTTTCCTTCTCAACCGGTTCTTCCAGAGCCTCATTGGCTTCTCCCCCTGCTTGGGCCCCTCCAGTGTTTCACCTCCTGGATGGTCACCCAGGCCGGTCCCTCATCTCCCGTAGCCGCCTCGTCCTGGGTCTCCCCTCCTCTGTCTCCCTGGCTCCTGCCCCTGATGCACATTCGTTTTCTCTTCACCCTCCTCTCCTTTATCTTTCTTTGCTCAAAACCTAAGACGGGGGAACCAGCAGTTAGCGTAATGGCTATGTCGCTGGACTCCCACGTAGTCGACCGCGGTTCGTGTCCCGGACCCGGTGGCTTAAAACTCATGCCGGGCGCGTGTGCGTGTGTGCCCAAGATCCCGAGAGGAGAATGGAGGAGAAGGGATTGCGGCGTGACCATCCCTTCTGGGGGGTGATTTCTCGCTTTCTGTCTCTATGTCTCTCTCTGTCTGTCTGGCGAGCGCACGCGCCCTACAGTGAAAATCTCTCAAAA